ATGCTCGACAAAGGAGGAGACAGGATCTGCTATGTTCAATTCCCTCAGAGGTTCGAGGGCATTGATCCGAACGATAGGTATGCAAACCACAACACAGTTTTCTTTGATGTGAGCATGAGAGCACTTGATGGGTTGCAAGGTCCTATGTACGTTGGCACGGGCTGTATCTTTCGAAGAATTGCACTATACGGGTTCAGTCCACCCCGAGCGACTGAGCACCATGGATGGTGTGGTAGGAGGAAGACAAGGAAGGTTCTGAGGAAACCCAACATGCCAAATGGCCAAGAGGATGATGAGGAAATGGTTTTACCAACCATTGGTGCTCACAATGAAGATGAAGACTTAACCAGGGTTTTGCTTCCAAAGCAATTTGGTAACTCAGTGCCTCTTGTGGACTCAATTGCTGTTGCTGAATTTGGTGGAAGGCTGCTCCATGAGTTGCGGGGCAAAGGCTGTCTAGGCCGGCCTTCTGGCTCTCTAGCTGTACAACGTGAGCCGTTAGATGCTTCAGCACTTGCAGAGGCAGTGAGTGTGATAAGCTGCTACTATGAGGATAAAACCGAGTGGGGAAGAAGAGTAGGATGGATATATGGTTCTATCACAGAAGACGTTGTGACAGGTTACCGGATGCACAATCGAGGGTGGAGATCAATCTACTGTGTCACAAAAAGGGATGCCTTTAGAGGAACAGCTCCAATCAACTTGACAGATAGGCTGATTCAAGTCCTGAGATGGGCAACCGGTTCTGTCGAGATCTTCTTCTCCCGGAACAATGCCCTATTCGCTAGTCCAAGGATGAAGTTTCTACAGAGAATAGCTTATTTCAATGTTGGGATGTACCCCTTCACTTCCATCTTCCTCCTGGTCTACTGCTTTCTCCCAGCACTTTCCCTCTTCTCTGGGAAGTTCATTGTTGAGTCCCTTAACATCACCTTCTTAGCGTTCCTATTGGCGATAACTCTCACCCTATGCCTCCTGGCAATCCTGGAAATCAAATGGTCAGGAATCACCCTCCATGACTGGTGGAGGAATGAGCAGTTCTGGTTGATAGGTGGGACCAGTGCCCACCCTGCAGCAGTCATACAAGGACTCCTGAAGGTGATAGCAGGAGTGGACATAAACTTCACACTGACATCGAAATCAGCAGCCCCCGACGATGGGGAGGACGAATTCGCAGAGCTTTACGAGTTCAGGTGGACGGTGCTGATGATCCCTCCCATCACAATCATCTTGATCAACTGTGTTGCTATAGCGGTGGCGGTTTTCAGGACGGTGTACAGCCCATTCCCACAGTGGAGTAAGCTGCTTGGAGGGGTGTTCTTCAGCTTCTGGGTACTGTCTCATCTCTACCCTTTCTCAAAGGGGTTGATGGGGAGAAAGGGGAAGGTGCCCACTATAGTGTTCCTCTGGTCTGCACTCATATGCATCATCATTTCATTGCTTGCACTGTACATATACCCTCCCAATGGTCACCAAGATTACAACATGACCTTCCAGTTCCCTTAATGAAGTTTCTCAACTTCAACCTCTGTTGTTTTTCCTATTGCATAGAATGGATGTGTATTTTTTCTGTACTACTCTACCTACTGCCCCTTGTAATGAATATTAATATGTTGAGACTGGAATAGAAATTTGCAGGTTTCTTTGTAAGAAACATCTTCATCTTCATCTTGACTTATCAAACTTATTTTGGTACAATTTTTGCTGCTACAATTTTAGCTGGAAACCTAAATCTTAGAGAGACATGAAAGATGACATTTAGCACTGCTGCCATCACCATATGTTATGGAGTTGCAATTCTGAGTGTATAGGAATAAGAATCTATCATAAATTTAAGGAGTGTTCAAAAAATAAAAACTAAAAATTTAAGGGGGTGTATTTGTTCAAAACATTTGTAAATTTTTAAATACTTTATTTTAAAAGTTTAAATTAACATTATTCAATTCAACTTTAAAGAAAGTTTTAAGGGTTTGATATTCGATTTATTTTATGCTTTTAAAAATTGACTAGTGATGAGTTATAAGTCTAGGGGAACAAGCCTGGAAGATCAAGTATATTGAATTGCCCGACTAACCAAAGGTAGTAGGGTACTTGGGTGTTCAACGACGTCCTTGAGGGATTGAGTTCCCTTATTACTCAGGATGCTGGTGGTGCCTTCACTCGTAGAATTAGAAAGTTCGAGACTTAGCCTCTCTTTCTCTACAAAAAAAAAAAAAAAATGGCCACTTGTATTGAGTTGGATGCGATGGATGTATTGAGTTGGATGCGATGGATGATCTACGCTTACCCAGCTAACAAGATAGCTTGTATGTTGTAGGGTTTGCCGTGTTGCCTGACTAGACTACACCATGCATTGACTTACCAATTGCTTGTCTCCTCGCACTAGAGCCTGTCAACGTTAAACTCACTTGCTACAAGCCATCATAGCACTAGTAGTCTTTGTATTCACTATTGTATCACGGGTTGATCAGACTACCTTTTCTCATTAGGCGATTGACCTTTGGCTTATATTATACAATGTATACTTTTTCATCTCTTATTCTCTTATCTCATAGTATAACTCTAGGTCCCTCCCTTACCCAACCTTGATCTAATTTATGCTATTACATGGTATTCGATTTATTTATTCTTCCATATGAAGACTTTTGTATTATTTTTTTATCTCAACTTTAGATAATTGAAATCCATCACTTATATTCGATTTTTTTTTTTCAATTGCAAATTGCAATACATAAATTTATTTAAGACCTATAATAAGTATAAATATAAGTCAATGAAAATTTGTACGGTGTAGCAATTTAGAATTTTAACAAATTTATACACTTCTTATTTTCATTGTAGAAGTGAATGAAAGTTTTTAATTTTTTATAATAAAAATTTATAAAAGTTATTAAATTATTTGTTATATAATATTTTTATAAACACTTACGAAATCTCTAAAACTTTTATCAAAATCTTTAACTAAATACACCCCTTAATCTCAATATTCTCTCTCAAGTGTAACAAAACAAAAACAAAAAACAAAAAAAAAAAGGCATGTGGATGCGGTAGTGTGGAGTTCGTATATCTACTAGAAGCATGTATGGGAAGAAGGTCCAAGGATTGTGGAAAGTCTATATTAGATTCTTTGTGTGCGCACATGAAGACTAGGATCTAACAAGTGGACTGATTGCGTGACTCACAATTTATCTTTGCAATGGTTCTAAGAACGAGATCCCGTAGAGCGAAATTGGGATCACCTAAATTTAAAAAAGAAAAATGAAGAAAAAAGAAAAGTACTTTTTAAAATAGTAATCCAAAATGTACGTTTTGTCATTGTCGCGGGGGTGTCTTTGGATTCTCATCCCCAACACCGCTGGCACTAGCCGGCACCGCATCGTATTCTTTACAGCCAAGTTTTAGTAGGCATACCACTACGTGGTACCATTTTATTGGACAATGAGAGATACAAATATCCATTTCTAATTTGGTGGCGATTGATGTGAAATTACAACCTGGCATTGCCAATCCTCATCAAAACACTACATTATATATATATATATATATATATATATATATATATATATATATATATATATATATATATATATATATATATATATTAATTATTAAATCAAAATGTTTGCTTCTAAAACTTCTTTCTCATTCTTATAATTGCCTTTCTATGGTGCACCACACCACATGCCACCCCACTTTCCTCATTTTTATTTTAGTTCCCTTTTTTGATATATTAGGTTTCTACTTCCGTCCAAAAATCTGGTGGTGGTGTAGTGATATCAAGCTATTCTCTCATATTGAAAGTTGTAGATTCGAGTCTCAATAGAAGTCGTTGAAAAAGTAGTTATGAACATATACGAATAAATACTACATTGTAACAGATTAATCTTCTGAACAGATACGAATAGATACTGCATTTTAATCAATCTTTCAGTTTTCTCCACCATGCCACTGGAATAAAACTATCAAATTGACCCTTAAACCATTGAACTAAACCTATATATTTTATTTTCTTTCCACTCCACAAACACAAACACATGCTCTCATCCAGTCATCCTCTCCCATCAGCACAGTTCAACTCTCTTCATTGCTTCATTTGTACACCTCTCATGTAGCACGCCTAATCTATCCTTATCCACATATAAATGGGTATTCTTAAGATGTGGATGAAATATTTTAGGTCTATGATATGTACCACATTCCACAATGGAACATATCAAAATTCAAGCAAACTCACATGCTAGTTTTTGTGGGGTAATTAAAGTTTGATTTCGTATCATTTAATACCAAATACATATCAGTGAACTAGGTATATATACACACTAGTCCAAACTCCAAACCAACACTCGTACGAGTCTAAGTTCATTTTGGTGCCTTCTCTAAACCTTAACAATACAACTATTTTAAAACTCATGAGGAAATGTTGAATATGGTGTCAATTTATGACTAGTATATTTGAAGAATAAATTTGGCAAGGTCTTATTCATAGGTTGGAGCCCACTGTCCACTCACACTCACATAGTGTCCGCATTTTCTCCTAAAAGGATGAATTCCCAACTCCAAGAGCCTCACGCCCCAGCTCGACGAGTATTTGGAAGGATATAAATCACGCTAACTTAATGATTCAACAAACAGGGCTAAATGCCAGTGCGCACAAAGTATCTGCCCACTTTGAACATAATCTCCACACTATCGCTATAAAGTTCGAACCTTGCTCTCTTATCCCAAATACTGCCTACTGAGTTCAATAAACTAAGCATGCGCGGGCATAGTGTCGGCATTCTTTTTTTTTTTTTTTTTTAAGAACAAAAACTTAATGCATTAAATCATGAGAAAGGCAGTTTACAAGAAAAGATGAAAAAATATCAAATTACTCCCCCACAACCTGACTCAGAAATGACCTCCCGAGCAACCATGTGGGAGGCATTCTATAAAGTATAGACTACTATTGGACAACATTACAACAATCAATAAAATATATAGACATGAAAAACAGGGGGCCGTTTTAAACTTTTAAATTGAATTTGTCACCTTTTATTTCACAGGAAATAATGAAATAGAATACAAATCCCCTCCCAACCCTCCAAGTGATCATTACAATGGCGATTATGTTAATATAAGAGAAGTTTCTTCAAATGTAAAAATAATTTAAAAAAAAAAAAATGAAGATAAAAATAATGAAACCATATAGAAAAAAGAAGTTAATTTACCGGCGAGAAATTCAGGTAGAATGTCCGTAAAGGTCGTAGGGTGACCATAGAGAATCAAGCGGGCAGGGTTTGTTAGAGTCGAGTCGGAGCCAGGGCTTGCCGCTGCCGCTCCAGTGCAAAAGGCTCACCGGACCAGGGTGGAGGTCGCGGCAGCTTCCTCTAACATTGTCGCCGCCTAAGCCGTGCTGGTTCCACCGGTGTTCAATTGGGGCTAGGTCTCCGGCGAACACTAGTAGGAAAGGCGGCAGTGAGCCTAGCTCGTAGATGCGATTCGTCTTCTGGATCTCCATCCACCTCTCGATCCGTTTCGTATACCCGAATCGCCTCCATTTGACTAGATCTATGACCATAACGCCGGTGTTGAAGTAGCAGGGACTCCGTCCCTTGAAGGTGCCGGAAAATCTCCGGTCCGACCAGAATTTGTGGGTGAAGTAGTTGGTGAAGTTGGCCTCGCAGTACTCCGGAGCTCCGATGGTCTTCGTCCCCAAGCTGGTCCTCCAAAGCTTAGAAATATCATCGACCACGACGAGATCGGAGTCCAAGTATATGACTCTGCCGACGCAAGGCTCGAGAATATCGGCCAAGTAATTCCGAGCATAGTTGAGCGGCTGCTCCAGTGCTTGCCGGACGGATGTGGAGATCCGGCTCCGTACACGCTCCGGATCGAAATAATAAACCTTCAACTTCAATTGCGGGAAAGTAGACCGGACTAGGGTTTCGAGATTGGCGTGGGAGACCAGGAAATGGAAGAACACACTATCCGGACACCTGGAATGCTGAAGAATCGAATGAACGGCCGCGATTGAGCCTCTGAGATACTCCACATCGAGAGTAATCGCAACGTGAACGAGAGACGGATCACAAATGCCGGTTTTCCCCAATGCGGAACCGCATTCGCCGCCGCTCCGAAACAGAGGGGCTTTCCGAAAAGAAAACCTATCGAGAGCGCCGCTGGAATTATGGAATCGGAGATAGGAGTCGAAGTTAGACGATCTGATGGCTTCTGCCGGCGGGAAGGACTGCAGCGACGGCGAGAGCACAATTGTCACCACTACAGCAGAAACAAACCACGAGAATCTCATGATCCAGAGCATCGTTCTAACAAGGAAACCCCCAGTTCTCCTCTTCCTCTTCTTGGATTTGAAATCGAAACGCCCCGCTACGCTTGAAGAATAAACTGAAGTGAAGATTAAGGCTAGGGTTCCTTTAAGGTCCGCCAGAGTGTACAGAAAAGAAATACAAACTGCCAAGTGTAAATTAAATCAATGGTTGCAGGAAGATTGTATATATGCTTTCCTTTATCTTCTCCCCTTTTCTTCTTTCTCTACTCGAATGCCGTGGGAACGAAGCGAAGTTTGATAGAAAGGGAAGAATCCATTGAAGCGAGTAGGAAAAGCTGGCCGCGCTGCACTGCACCGCACCGCCGTGGTTGCAGTCGTCTCTGTCTTCTCTCTCAAGCAAGACGACAATATGGAGAGAGAAGAAGAAGAAATAGGAAGAGTAGAAGGAGAATTGTAGAGGGTTCATTTTTTACCATATGTATTTTAGGGGAAGTTTGGTTTCTACCCATCTAATGATGCGGCGAATTTACTTAATTTTCATCGGCGTTTCTAAATTTAAATAAATTTATTATAACCACCGTAACTGGTGTACGTAATTTCGTGAGACACTAGAAATTCAAGTCATGTGAAACTCCCAATTTTTTTATTTTTTTTTTTTTTTAAATTTGTCATTGCAAATTTAGAGCTGTCAATACGAGCTAGCCCAGCCCGTCACAGGTTAGGTCGGTCCGTTTTTCATGCAGTTGGGAAAATCCCAATCCAACTCGTGTTTATTGGCTGACGGGCTAAATAGGTCAGTCCGTCAGCCCATACTATATTTTGAATTTTAATAAAAAAAATATTTAAAAGGGTGTAGAGGCGATAGGCGAGGAGCAGCAGTCGGCCAATCACCAATTAGCCGAGGCGAGAAGTAAAGAGCTGGAAGGGGGCACAACCGTCACGGAGTAGTGGTTCTCGCGATGAGTCGGGGACGGAGCAGTGCTGGCGTGCTGACGGTGCTGCAGTGGAGTCGTCAAACGTCAATTGTGGAGACTGGAGCAGCTGCTGTCGTCCTCAACTCCTTGTCGATGTATTGCCGATTTGACGCCGTTGCTCGCCGGTCAGTGACTCAGAGTCGACAGTCGCTATTGGGACTTGAGGAGTTGAGCTGTTGACATCGTCGGCGACGGAGACTCGTATGTTGAGGAGTGATGAGTGACTTAGGGATTTAGGGGAATTAGGGATTTGACTCGCGCAAGAGTACATCATAGTCTCACTTGTAGCCTCGTAGTCGTCGATGTATAAATTAGTTAAGTTTTTTTTTTTTTTTTTTAACACGGGCCGGGTAACCCGTGGGTTATCCTGGTTCAGCTCGTTTAACCCGTAACAAATACGGGTTAAACGAGACGGGTTGGGATTTCTCTGGCCCAACCTGTCCAAAACACGGGTTGCATTTTGATCTTCATTAGAGCTATTTTTTTTGTTACATTTCTATAAATTTCATACCCTCGCATTTTTTTTATAAAGAAAATAAGAATGATTATATTAAGCAAGGTGTAACATAACCGGATACAAATGAAGGAAAAGAAGGGAAGGAAAATCACTCGTTGCAATCAATCAAAGAGACGGAGTCTAAAGTAAACAAATTGATAGGACCGCTTGTGAATTATTGTGTCACTAAAATATGGTAACATATATTTAATATCAAGAAGAATAAGATCAGAAGAAGATGATTCAACTATCTTGCTAAGACATTGGACCACTGGCCTAGAGAACATCAACTCCACCTACACATTTTCTAAACTTTGAGCCTTCAGCCAACTTAAAGCTTCTCGTAAAGTCACAAATTCCGTCTCTAGGTGTGGAAAAAAAAAAAAAAAAAAACATTCTGAACCGCACTCTTTGTTGCAATGAAACTTACATATCATCTCTCAACACCCAATCGAAACACACTCTTGTTTTCTCGAATCAATGGTCGTATCCATGTTTAGTTTTAGCCACCTTGTAGGAGTTTCTCCCACTTCTCAGTGAACCTAGTTCTGGGTTAGCCACTTAGCCATCTTGATCAACACCTTCGTGCACCTCCCTCCAATTGCAAAGATGAGTTCTAGCTCTCTCTACTACATTCTTTACTAAGGAAGCTCAATATAATTATACCAAAGCGCATTCATCACCTCTTCTATATCTGTCACAATTTGTTTAGGCAAGCAGAATACACTCATAGCATAGGTAGGCACAAATTGAATAACAGTTGATAAATTTTTATCAATTTTTATGAAAATCTTGTGATCCCTTTACTCTACCCAAAATTCTATTCTAGATAAAATTTAAGATATCCTTTTTATTTCGTCTCCACCAGCGAGGATAACCACAAGTAATTACTTGCATTCCCTTATCTAGTAACACCAATACATTACCCATCATATAACCCTCATCATTTCTGGGCTAACATTTTTGCTAAAGGTGATAGAAAACTTTTCCAGGTTTATAAGTTGCCAGAAGCTCTGGAATAATCATTTAAGATCTCCTTTACTACTTGGGATGGCTTTCAATTGGCTTTCCCATCACCCAACTTCTACTCTTATCTGGCCAGCTGGGTGTTATATCTTCTACTCTTCATTTGGCACAATCTCAACAGTTTCTTCTCTTTTGGTGTGCTATGTTGTTCATCTCTTCTACTGTAGTTGAAATGTGTCCTAAAATGTATGTCCATGTGTTGGACCACTTGATTGAGTTTTGACCTTATTGCAGAATATATTCTAGTTAAATTAAAATCTCACCATAATATTGGGGAGTCTAAATTAAATTCTTAATTTACCATTAATTAGCATTATCAAAGAATTCAAATTACAATTATTCTTAACATAACTAATTATAATATACTCACAACCTTTCAAAAAAAATATATATATATATATATATACTCACAAATTTATTATTTATTGGAATGTGGACATGAATTTAAAGCTAAGAACCAGTTTTTTTTTTTTTTTTTTTTTTTTTTTGCTATTTAAATTTGGAGTTTTTGGGAACTTATTTACTAAACTTATTAATTGATATTTTTTTTGGAGGTCACTACATGCCATCTGAGCACATGGTGCTTGACAACTTATTAATTGATATGTTTTATTTAGAGTTAAGAATTTGATTTTAAATATTGAATAAAATATTTAAATATGACTTAAAGAATATGGAGGGAGAACGAGTTTGGTGGTAGTGCATTTTCATCACTTAAGAAAGGTCGGGAGTTGGAACCCCCTACCCTCTAGTATGGAAAAATCAATCTGGCCCGCACTTTTCCCTTGGCAAGGTGACTCCTACAGTTAGAGCCTACTCCGGTAATGTGTCTTTTTGCCGTTAAGACCGGCTCAAAACACCTCCCGCCATGACCAAAGATAAATAAAAATAAAAAATAAAATTTGGAGGGAGAAATAATATATATATATATTCATACAAATAATTGGAGGGGCGGCAACCCCTTTCTTCCGGGCTCCCCGAGTAAGGATATATGGATAGGGATAGATGGATCGGAGCGTGGTGTTACAGTACATGACAGAATCTAGCTAGCTAGCCGCAGGAACCACCTGGGTTTCGTTTCCCCTTTACAATTGTTTCGGCATTGACGCATTTGTTTGGTTTAAGGTGGACGCCCTTACCCGCCGCCGATACAATATCAATGTCCGCCAATTCTACGTCTTCACAGGGAACTGTTTGGCTGCAAATGAGGGAGATCGCCGGATGTTTCTTAGACGCCGTTCCTCTTATGTTGCGGAAACGGACATCTTTCAGCTTCACCTTCGATGCCTGATAATCAAAAAACATTATATATATTCATTCGTAATGTCAAGCCATTCGTAATGTCATATAATTAAAAACAATTTAGTTAATTAGCTAAGGTACTAGACATTATGGGTACCTCTTTTCGGTTTTTGGAGTTGTAGTCTTGATCGATAATGATGGGACGAGTAACATTGTGCAACATTATATCTTCAAAAATAATGCCAGAAGCCTTGAGCTGTGGCGATGCACGATACGTCTTGATTCTTGCCCCATTTGTGGTGCCTATTAGTGTGCAATTTCTCACCGTTACTCCTTTCACGTCAGTTTCTTGTGCCCGCTTCCCAAGGCTTCCAATACTGTAACGCATTGAAAACTCAGTTAATTCTTGAATAGTAGACAAATTATGGACAAAGTGATTAGAAAAGTCTTAGGCAGAATTGAAGCATGTGCTCCAACCCATGACCTTTGGTCTGGTTTTGATACTAAATTGAAACATGTGCTCCATCTCAACTAAAAGCTTAAAGTGATAGTTAGATTGCACATTAATGATTATATGCTCAACAGGCAAGTTCTGGACTAAGTTCACCAATTGCTGGCTAGGGAATTGTTGGGGAGGCTGATGAAGGGCCCGCTCAATCAGCACCCAGCCTCTAGAAAATGTAATGGCAGTATAAAGAAATAATCTAACCTGATGCCATGTCCAGGGCCACAAGTGACCCTAGTGACAAGAAGATTGGTGGTGCCATCGCCAATGGAAACGCAGTCATCACCCGTTCCCACCACAAGATCAGTAACATTAACGTTGGTAGATCCGCTAATGTGGATGCCGTCGGTGTTTGGGCTGTCTCCGGGAGCGGTTATGCGGAGCTTCGAAACATTAAAATCATTGCAGTCCGACACTTTCATGTGGAACCCTTTGCTATTCACAAACTTGATATCATGAATGCCGGACCGGTTTACGCCTTGGAAGATGAGAGAAACGGGAAGAAGAGGAGCATTCTTAATTTTTTCGTCTGCGTCGAATTGCCACACATCCTCTCCACGGCCGTTGATGGTTCCTCCGCCGGTGACTTCCACGCCGGCAACATGTTCGATGATAAACCAATAGTTTGAAGTGTAGACGCTAAGGTCGCTGTCGGCCACCATGGTTCCCTTAATTTCAATCACAATGCGTTTAGCAGTGCAGGGTCCTTGGAACACAACCTCTCCTGCGAGGAATGTTCCTCGTGGAATTACAACCTTAGCCGCCCCCCTAGAATGGCATGCTTTGTTCCACGCTCTGATCATTGCCTGCATGCATAAATAGAGATGTCAAAAAGCGCCAGCGGGGCAGGGCCAATCGTTATGCTATGAACCTGTGTCCAGCATGTATTGTGGACACAGTTAGTGGCACCGTTATCTTATACTTTTTTTTTTTTTTTTAAAAAAAAAAAAAATTCAGACCACTTCATTATAGGCGTATATGTTCATAATTTTATCACTATATATTCATATTTGTAAGTTCATAATGTCAAAGCTCTGTATTCATAATCCATAACTGTACATTCATACTTCAATAACTGTACATTCATAATTCGATAACTGTACATTCATAACTCCACAAACAAATAACGCCGTTAACGGTGAGACAAAATCATTTTTTTAATTGGAATGCAGCGTTTTTCCTAAAAACGATGTCATTTTGGACTCGTGTCCACAATGCATTGTAGACACGAGTCCACAGCATAATTTGCAGGGCAGGACTGTCCGGGCCCACCAAAGCCTGCCATATGGCGGAAGTGGACTAAAAAACCAGGCAAAATACGGGTCTCAAATAAGTCAGCCCGTCCCGTCCCATCCCATCTTACACCCGTGAAAATAATGTATATATACTAGGCGGGCTTGGTGGGCCCTTGTCAGCCCACCAAATTAAAGCCCACCATTTTGGCCAGGCTAAAAAGCCTGTCAAATTACAGATCATAAAATTCAAAGTCCGTCTTGTCTTTTTAACGGGACGGAACAGACTAACCTGATAGGGGTTAAGTCGGTTTTGACGACTCTATATATTAACATATAAATAAATGAAACTCATGCATGCACGAATATATATACCATTGTGCTATCTCCTTTGCCATCGGGTTTGGCCCCAAATTTGGTAACGTCGAAAATAGTGTGTGTGTGGCCACGACCACGAGGGATGCATTCCACTCCGGTAGAGAGCAAGGCTATACCTAATAAGATAACAAAAATTCCAGCCTTGATCTCCATTGTGGCCACATAAATATGTTCAACGTACCTAAGACGATAGATATCTTTTCTTCGTCTTTAATGTTTTAGGAAGAAAGGGGTTGGCATGAAATGTTGAAAACTAGATATCTTTTATACCCAACAATTTTATGGCAACCCATGTTCTACGTGCCGCTAATAGTGTCTTGTGATTACTATTTTTAAGGAGAGGTGCATCCCCTCAATTCTTAACCATTAAAGATCAAGGGACCAAAATTTGTTGATATAGATTAAAAGGTCTACTAAATGTTAATGTATGTGACATGTTGCTATTAATTAATTTAAAAGGAGTTTATTTTTAATATGCTAATTATAATATGTTGGCCATGGCCGGACGCCCACCGCTGTCTAGCGCTGACAGCCGGTGGCTTTTTTTTTTTTTTTTTTTTTTTTGTTTTAATTATTATTATTTTTAATTAATTAATTAATTTATAATAAATAATATTTTTATTTTTTAATAAATAAAAAACATTTGTTTTAAAAAATAAATTAGGAAGGACATGTGTCAACACCATATCGATTTAACCTGATAAACAAGTCAAATTGGACTTAATTGAACAATTTTACCGGTTTAGGAGACTTGAATGAAGCTTTTTTCACTTAGGGGACCCAATTGCACTATTCACTTGACTTAGGGGGCCAATTTGACACTAGTTTTTTCCTATGTAGAATGGGTTTGGAATGAAGAGAAATGGATTAAAGTAGAGCAGTCCGTTTTAAATTCTTTAATGGGAGAAATTAAATTCTTCGATTGCCAAACACCTTGTGCTCAGATGGCATGTAATGAATAATGATCTATCCCATGTGAGAGGTCCAGCGTTGTTGACTCTTATAATGTAATATAATAGAATAGGTTGTTCTTCTCATATAATTGTTACAAAACCCCAAAGTTTAAGTATTAAATTACCAAAATTTAAAAGATTAAATAATATAATTGTCATATGACATAATTTTTTTTGTTAGAAATAATGTATAGTAGTAAAAATTATGATTTTGCATATTAATTAGGATTTCATAACTCTCAATTTTTATTTAAATTTTTTTAATATATAGATTGCAAAGCCAAAAGAATATCCAGTACAGACTATCTTATATGATACTGTATATATTAGTATGAAGTAAAGAAGCATTTGGACATGGTTGAGAAGGGAGAATTGCAAAACTTTATTGAAAAAAGAAAAGAGAAACTAAAAAAATAGAAGAGAGAGTTTATTATACTAAAAAAAAAAAATATTCCAGAGGTTTTGCATCTCATGATTTTCAATGGCTAAAATTTGTAACCATACCACACGACGACACAAATAGCGGTACATACAACACATGCACAGTTGCCTGAAAAGACTATTGACTCAAACATTTCATGTCTGCCCCTCTTTTCATAACTGAAGAAGAAGAAAGAGAAGAAAGAGAAGAAAAAGAAGAAGAAGAATTGAAGAAGAAAAGAAATCAAATCTGTGGTCAAAGATTATTGAATGTATTGAAGTGGCCACAAATGGAGATCAAGGCTGGGATTTTTGTTATCTTAGGTATAGCCTTGCTCTCTACCGGAGTGGAATGTATCCCTCGACGTGGCCTTTCATCAGCGGCGACTGTTTTTGACATTACCCAATTTGGGGCTAAACCCGGTGGCAAAAAAGATAGCGCATTGGTATACTATACGTGCGTGCATGCATGCGATCTATATATATATATTTATTTATGATTAAATGTTAATATATAGAAGCTAATTAAGATTGAAATAATCCATTTTCATGCATGCAGGCAATGATTAGAACGTGGAACAAAGCATGTAAATCGACGGAGGCGGCGAAGATGGTAATTCCGGCAGGAAAATTCCTTGCCGGAGAGGTTGTGTTTCAAGGGCCCTGCACCGCCCCTAAGCCCATTGTGATTGAAATTCGGGGAACGCTGGTGGCTGACTCCGATCTCAGCGTCTTCACTTCCAACTATTGGATCAGTATCGAGCACGTTGCCGGCGTCGAAGTCACCGGCGGAGGAACCATCAACGGCCGTGGAGAGGATGTCTGGAAATTCGACGCAGGCGAAAAAATTAAGAATGCCCCTCTTCTTCCTGTTGTAAGTAAACTACTCTCACCTCCAGGGGCGGATCTAAAGAGGGACAATGGGGCAGTTGCCCCCCTCCCCACCCCTTTAACAGTAACTTATATATATAATCTTGTGTTTGTGGTTGTGCAATCCATTGTAGTGTGTAACTCGGTATTGTGGATTGTGTAACTCCTGGTGTGAGTTGTGCTATGTATTTTAATTTTATTGAGTTAATACCTCCCATGGTCCTCTGAGTATTAGTGATTTACCCACTGTGGTCATCCGAGTTTTAAATGATCTCCAGGTCCTCTATGTTTTAAAAAATAATTACACGGGGTCATTTTAGGATGTCTTGTGGTCATTTTAAACTTGGGTATTTTTAAAAATTAGGACCACGGGTGATTATTTTTTAAAACATAGAGGACCATTGGACGTCATTTAAAACTCGGATGACCACAGCTGGTAAATCGCTAATACTCAAAGAACCATGCATTGGAGGTATTAACTCAATTTTATTTATTCATTGTCTTGCTGGTTGAAGGATCACAAGGCATATCAATGGATTCAATAGACTTGTTGGTTGTGCAACGGGTCTATTGAACTCGCTAGGGAGTATATGTTTGTTTGGTTGTGCAACCCGTCGTGGGTTGTGCAATGTATTTTAATTTTATTTACTCCTCATTCCGAGCTGGTTGAAGGATCACAAGACATATCAATAGATTCAATAGATCTATTGGTTGTGCAACGGGTCTATTGAACTCGATGGGGAACATATGTTCGTTTGGTTGTGCAACCTGCCGTTGTGGGTTGTGCAACCGGGATTGATTATTGGATCTCGCATTTACTGATTTGCCCATAGTTAGTTATTAATGCTTTGCATGCGCCCATAAATTATGAAAATCGGCCATAAATTTAAGATTACACATGATTTTGTAATATCTATGGTCTATATTACTCTATAATTCTTACATAAGGGCTAGTTCTAATGTGATCATGCACCTTTCTGTACCGAGCTAATGTAATTACTATACACATTGTGTATATGCATGCAGTCTCTGGTCTTCCAAGCCGCAAACCATTCTAAAATTCATGATATCAAGTTTGTGAATAGCAAAGGGTTCCACATGAAAGTGTCGGACTGCACTGATTTTAATGTTTCGAAGCTCCACATAACCGCTCCCGGAGACAGCCCAAATACGGATGGCGTCCACATTAGCGGATCTACCAACGTTAATGTTACTGATCTTGTGGTGGGAACCGGCGATGACTGCGTATCCATTGGCGATGGCAACACCAATCTTCTTGTTACCAAGGTCACTTGTGGCCCCGGACATGGCATCAGGTAGGTCACATCCATCATCAATCCATTATTAGGTCAACTCTTTTATCACTATGTCAAAAATTATAACTAGTAGCAAAAAGATAACTTTATTTTTTTATACAGTCACATCTTACTACTGAAAATTATAGAATTTCCGACCACCTGAAAGTTATCTTAAATCAAGTCGAAAGTGACCACTTTTGGTATCCGAAAAAACCTTTATTGCTATTTTCGATCACTTTTTGCTTTCGACTTGATTTAAGATCACTTTCAGGTGGTCGGAAATTCCATAATTTCCAGTAGTGTCCCCTAGCCACATGGTATTGGACATGGTCTTTACTGACCTCCCCCAACATTCCTTCTTTTTTCAACACCGGTCAGTCTTAACTGCTCTTGCTAGGATTAGGATTACCAACCTCCGCACAACCATCCCCAACACCAACCAATTTGCTCTTGCTGGGACTAGGATCAAATGTTTACCACTATGCCAAAAGTTATACTGAGTAGTGCTGGACCTGACCCTTTACTGGCCACTGACCACCAATTCCTTTAACCAGATGGTACTGGACTTGATCTCTATTAACACCTGCCCAACATACTTTATTCACAATCTAATTAAGCTGCCTGTGCGGGCTTCTTCTTTTTCACTGCTGGAAATTATGTAATTTTCGACCACCTGAAAGTGATCTTAAATCAAGTCAAAAGTCCTGTTTCGACCACTATTAGTATCCAGAAATTCCATAATTTCGCAGTGTTCTAATTACTTTAATAACTGTTTTGTTGTGGGTGTGACTACGTGGGAGCAGTATTGGGAGCCTGGGGAAGCGGGAAAGAGAAACAGATGTGAATGGAGTAACTGTGAGGAATTGCACACTGATAGGCACCACAAATGGTGCAAGAATCAAGACGTATCGTGCGTCACCACAGCTCAAGGCTTCTAGAATTATTTTTGAAGACTTAATCTTGGATAATGTCACTAATCCCATCATTATCGATCAAGACTACGGCTCCAAAAAGAAAGGACAGGTAACAACGTAACTATATATTCAGCTAAGCTAGCTAGCAGCAAATTAAATTAGAATTGAAGTCAAATAATAATGTTAGTTTTTTTGGAATATATATAGCCATCGAAGGTGGCGATCAGTAATGTTCATTTCCGGAACATAAGAGGTACGGCGGCGATAAGAAAACCGGCGATAACGCTCACGTGCAGCGCAGCAGTCCCTTGTAAAGGCGTAACATTGGCAAATATTGATATCGTGCCGGTGGAAGGTGCCGACGGCAAACTTAAACCAAACTCTTGCCTCAATGCCAAACCAGTTTTTAAGGGCAAACAAAATCCAGGTGCCTGCTAGCTACCTACCTACCTACCTTTCTTTTGCCTGCCCTTAGCTTTTTTTAAAAATTTTTTTTTTATTCATTTTAGTTACTTCAATTAGTTCGGTATCCTTTTTGTTGAGCGTCAGTCGAGTTTAGCCTCTGCTCGATTCGAAACATGACTTATTGGTAGAGAGATTCACTAGAAATTAAGCATAAAGATTCAACATTTTTTTTGGTTACCATATGTATAGTACTAGCTACTTAAATTCTTTTGTTTTTGTATATGTACTGCAAGACCGTACCCTTTCTGCTCTATTCTTTTGTTTTTGTATACTAGGGTTAGTGTTATTATTTGACGGCTATTTTTTAATTTCACCGTTTCTCATAGTACAAATATTATACTCTACGTATACATGCATGTCAAAGTACGTACAACTGGACTTTAACCAGCTTGGTTGGAGTGAGTGGTTGTGCACTCTTATCCCTTAAAAAAGTCGGGAGTTCGAACCCCTTCTCGTATGGAAAAATCAATCTGGACAGCACTTTGTCCCTTAATTGGGCCATAGTACAGGCTTAAAGGTGTTTCCTACCGTTAGGACATTCTCATAATCATGTCTAACTCTTGTCAATAAATCTAACAATTAGTCTCGGGATAGTACGCTGCAGGTATACAAATTAAATCGGAAAATACTACTTATACTCTTAAATTATATTCTCAATTTTTACATCATCTCATACAATTTTGATGTTGACATTTTCATTGGGACTCACATGATAAAAGTAACTAATAATTAATTGTCATCAAGAAATAAAAATGAGAGACTAAAAATAGGGAGTAGTATATGGACTAGAACTCATAAAAATCAGTCCCAATAAAATCTAACAATTGATCTCGGGATTTTGTGCATGTGTAAAAATAAGTCCCACTTAAATCCATATTTTTCAAGTATCAATGACAATATCCTCACTATGTTTTGTTTGTTTGTGAATTAAAACACTGAATTATTAGTAATATAAATAGCTAATTGATTGTCACACCACATTTAGTGGCTTGAGTCATAGCATGATGATATGACTCAAGTCACTTGTGGCAGCTTTTTAATTATATCATTTGTAAGTTTTTAAGAAAAAAAAACTCAAAAAAAAATTATATTGTGAAAGTATATGAACAGATACTACATTGTAATAGAGCTAGTAGCATTCAAAAAAAAAAATAAAAAAATAACAAAATATGTAAGCAAAGAAAAAAATAAAAATAATTTTTTTTTTTTACAGAAAAGCATGCCATTTATCTTGAAAGCATCAAAATTGCACGGATGTGATTAGCCTAAGATTTCCAAATTAAAGGGTTTTGCCGTTTTGAGTCGGATAATCCGGAAACATTAAGCATATGTTGTACAGAAATAGAAAATGGAGAAACAAAAAAAAAAAAAAAGAAATGAAAAAGATGACATTTTCAAAAAATATACGAAATGAAATGTGGGGGAACGTGGCAAATAAAAAAAAATACAGAAGTACATGTGTAAATATGTTTTCCTTAATATATACAAATATTAATTATTTCATATTTAAAAATATTAGCTAATAAATAAAAGTAGTTCACTACATCACTAATATATAGTTAAATAGTAAATACAAATTACCACAAAATTAATATCTGATCTAAAAACATAATAAGTGTGAATGAAGGTTATACCTTTTATTTATGTCCGTTTTTTTGTTACGATTTTTTTTTATACATTATCATATAAAAGTTGTACTATACAATATTTTGGACAAACATAATCCTATAATTATAACTTTCGTTATCTTTTCCATTATTGTTACCATGCACATGCACCTATTATATATTTTCTTATATTATTAAATAATAATAATATATACACATTATATATTAGAGTTATATGTTAATTTCCTAAAATATAAATATTAAATTTATTAAAATATTTTACATTATTATTATTATTATTAATTATTATTAATTTAAATATCTAAAATCTAAATAAATCTAAATTTTTAATATAAAGTACTAATCTAACATCGCGCATAGGAAATACTAGTAAAATAAAAATAAAAGTTAATGTAAGCACACATGATAAAATCCAGGAGGAACTAACTATGCAAATGAAGAAGAAGAGTACACCAGCAAAGAAATCCTAATTTATCACAAATTTAACTTCTAAAATCAAGCATGACATCTGCATATAATCATTCAAGCTTTCAAAACACAAACTAAACTTACTAAATCATCCATCATCCATATATAAATAAAAAGGTAAACAATTCTCATGTGAGAGATGATTCTCGTATGATCCTATAGAGAGAGAAAGAGAATCTTCATATGCTAATATTGTTGTAATTGTAACGCTCATAATTATTGTAAGTTTGTAACGCCTTGACGTTCAATTTGATAAGCTAGGTTGACGAACCTTCCCTTATATAAGGATCTCACCTCCCACCTCCCATTCTCCCAACTAATCATATATATATATATATATATATATATATATATATATATATATATATATATATATCATTAATTAATCCGGGGTGGACCCGAATCAATAAATTCGGATAAATAATATAGAACGATGTCGTAAAGGCCGTGAGACCGTATATTATATTAAATGCCGTGGAATTGACTATTACAATGATTTGGTAAGACAAAGTATATAGAATAATAAGTAGATGTCCTAACAATGTGAGGTGGGGGGTTTTTATATGCAACAACCCCCAACCGCTCCTCCTAAAAAGGGGGGCGGTTAGATCGCTCTTTGACCGGGGACCCGAGCGGACCGGGTCGGATCGGGTCCCGAGCTCGGGTGGTGTCGAGCTCCCCTACCCGAGCTCGCTATGGGCCGAGCTTGGGTAGGGTCATGCCACCCAACCCGAGCCCCACACGTAACTCGGCTCGGGTAAGGCACCTCCATGGTGCCGTGGGCCGGGTACTTTTGGACTCCAACATGGTACTCCGGGTCCGTGTTGCTATCCCGGGTCGGGTCGTGGGTATAATATATCCGTCATATATATATATATATATATATATATATATATATATATATATATAATGGAACTAATTCGACCTTTGGTCTCCATCCAATTGTTGGTGGCTTTGTCACTTTACTCTTTAAATATAAAAATGACTACTTCTCACATTATACAATTTTAGTCATTTTTAATCCTCCAAGCAAAAATATAGCAGCTCTAGAGTGTGAATATTTATGAAATTTAAAATTTCTAATGTCACTTTCCTCTTCAATTCTCTCCTCCGCTAATTCTTTGCAAGTGTCAATTTATTCTCATCTTTGGAGTTTAAATATTAGGCGGCTAGCTGGTCAAAGCGTGATGACAGGAATGGAGGAAGCTTAATTAAGCAAAAAGGAAATTCAGAGATTTCATATAATCAAAACATAGTCTTTCCCTTATAATCAGATTTCTAAATAATAAGGAAAACAACAAAACAGACAGCAAAACAGCACACTGTAGATTGCTAGACAACATACTGTAGATCTGTGACCCAAAAATATTTAAAGAGGAATGAAATTGAAATTTTATGGAAAACAAATTACCAGGAAAATAGATTTCATTATTTGGTTGGTGGAAATGAAATTACTAGAAATATGAATTACATTGTTTGGTTGGGTTTGAAATGGTAAGGAATTATGAATATAAAGACCAATATGTCTCAAACAATAATAATGATAGTAAATTAAGCATAAATACTACCTATATAATTAAGCAACTTTTATGAGGGTATGATAATTGTCCAAACATGTTATCCAAACATGTTATCTTGACTTTACATGTAATGTGGAAAACAAAATACCAGCCCAAAATGTGTTGCGAGCTGATCTTTCAACATGTGTTGCGGAAGCAAAATGTGGTGGCGGATGCTTTGGCGAATCACGTGGATGATCTGAACGCAGGCGGGAGTGAGATGACAGAACTTCCGGGTTATGCCCGGGAAGCGCTAAGAGATGATGCAACTAGGATCCTCGAAACCTCCGGGTTATGTCCTGGAAGCGCTAAGGGATGATGCAACTAGGATCCTCATATTGCGTGTTGTTACCAAAAGGTATTAGCATTAGTCACCCGGCTTGTCCCTCATCTTTTATCCCAAAAAAAAAATGTTTTCATCCAACCAAACAACATAAAACATAATTTTTTTTTCTACTTTCAGAAAAACATTCTAATTATAGATTCACACAATTGTGCGGAACCATCCACGACGTTATTAAATTTTATAAGAGCATCCACACCAAAGTATGGGAGATAATAGTACACTAATATGCACTTCAACAGATGGGAAGCAAAGATAATATCAAAAATAATCCTCTTGCAAATGTCAAGATAATGGCAGAAAAAGAAAAAAAAAAAAAAAAAAAAAGGACAAGCGCTGCTAAGCAAAGAGTTCAAAGCCGGGCGCGTGCAACACGCGTCGCGCGCATCTGTTTACAGCATTTTTTTATTTTAAAAATTTTAATTTTATTTTTTCTCTCCCCTCCCATATTCTCTTTCCTAATCACTCTTACATTATCCCTCAATTCTCCCCAACTGATGTGGATGCTCTAAGTTAGAATAATGTACATTATGAATTAGAATAATGTACTTTTTGTGTTAGAAGAATGTACATTATATGTTAGAATTATGAAGTGAGATAATGTACTTTATAAGTTAAAATAATATTAAAAAAATATGCAAAACGACTACGGTCTAAGCAATAAATATTGATCTTTTAGAGTTGGGTTCAACCTTTTGGAAGAATAAGTATTGATCTCGGTACTCCTGGTCTTATCCACTTAGTTGGTTGCATTTTTTGTTGTCTTTTTGTGTCCTGTGCTCAACTATGTATAAATTGATTCAAAACCCTATACACACCCATCACATGCATCCTAAGTTTAATTCTCTTTCTCTTCCCAATCCCTATGGTTCTCTTTTGGAATATTCATGTCTTTATCTCTCTCCTTCTCCTCACTATCCCTTTCTCAATCATAAGCGCAGAAAACTCTGAAACTTATATTGTCAGCCTCCAAAATGACTTGAAACCTTCTGTTTTTTCCGATGTTGAACACTGGTATACTGCCACCCTTAACTCCCTTACTTCAAACCCTGTAACCGACAATT